AGCTATCAGCTCGTTATGGTTTCGACAGTCGAATTCGTTGAATTAAAGTACTCTAGCAACTTATTGTTGGCATATATAACTTTCATTTTCGGGATATAGGTTCTTTGGAGCAGTAGAAATATTATCGGGTACAAATTTTATATAAATTTAACAAATATTGAGCATTTTAAGGCAAAAAATTGTTGAAAAAATTTGCAAATTTTTTCATTACCAAAATGCTCGAAAACCGCTCGAATGATTTTGTTTTTGTTTTCTTTAATCAAAAATTCAAGAGTTTTCCTTTTGTTTGGTATATGGGAAGTATTGGTTGATATCTTCTATATATGTCTATTTTATTCAAATATATGGGCATAAATGATTTTCCATACAAAATCACCTCGTCATCATTTTGCAAACACGTGCATATGTTGGAAGTGTGGGAAGGAGACAAAAAGTATGTATGCGTATGTAATGCGGCTTTTGATAAACAGAGGCGCGCTATTTATAACCTAATCGCAGCGTGTGTACATATGTAAATACATACATACGTACATATGTTGATTGCAGTTAATGTGGATCTGTTTCTATTTTTAGTAATCTATGTATGTCTATATATACATATGTACATACATATTATATATGTACATACATATATGAACACATGTATGCATAATACGCGAAGACTTTTCGAAGTGAAACAACATTTAGAAAAAGTCCAATCCAAGAATAAAAGTAAAGGTGAGGACGTACATAGATAAAGAAAAGGATAAAGGCCAAGGTAAAAATAAACACAAAAACAAAGTTGAGTAAAGATAAAGGCAAACATGAAGACCAAGGTAAATTTAAACACTTTACTTATATGTATAAGTGCAAAGGTGAAGGGGAATATGTATATGAAGAATATGATAAACATAAAAATAAAAACAAAGATAAATATAAAGAAAAAGATGCGGATGAGGATACCGATAAAAGTATAGATGAAGATAGAGGAAGAAAGATTAAAATAAAGGTAGTTGTAGAGAAAAGGATATAGATAAAGGCACAGAGACTCAATCTCGGAACTATTTCGGGATTTTAGGGATTCTCGGGACTTATCGATATAATCGATATTTTGTTGGTTTTTTTATCGATTTTGTTATCGAAAATTTTATCGATATTGTTATTGATTTTGCTATCGATATTTTTGGAACTTATCGATATAATGATCGATATTTTCATCGATTTTGTTATCTCTTTATTATCGATTTTGTTATCGATTTTATTATCGATTTTGTTATCGATATTTTTATCGATTTTGTTATCGATATTTTTATTGAATTTGTTATCGATATTTTTATCGATTTAGTTATCGATTTTGCTAACGATTTTGTTATCGATATTTTTATAGATTTTGTTATCGATATTTTCAGAACTTATCGATATAATGATCGATTTTGTTATTTATTTTGCTATCGATATTTTCACTTATCGATATAATGATCGATATTTTTATCGATTTTGTTATCGACATTTTAATCGATTTTGTCATCGGTTTTGTTATCGATTTTGTTATCGATACTTTCGGAACTTATCGATATAATGATCGATTTTGTTATTTATTTTTCTATCGATATTTTCGGAACTTATCGATATAATGATCGATATTTTTATCGATTTTGTTATCGACA